TAATTCAAGCGGGTCGCCCGAATGATGCAATTGTCGTCGCTTTCGGGCCCGTGAGCCTTGACTATGTTGGAAGTCTCGTGCGGGAGCTTCGTCCGCGCGCGTGATGTGAGGAAGTCTTAGGCGGAACCGCTTCGTCATGGGGCCCGCAGGTCACGCCTTTAACCCGAGCGGAACATCCGAATCATGTAACTGTCATCGCTCTGGGGCCCGTTAGTCTTGAATCTGGACGACGTCTCGTGCGGGAGTTTCGTTTGTGAGTGAATTGCCAGGACGTTTCAGGCGGGAACCCCCTCCCCAGGGGGCCTCAGGTCACGTTATCAATCCGAGCGGGCCGTCCGAATCCTGCAATTGTCGTAGCTTTCGAGCCCCTGAGCTTGAATCTGGGGGGCAGGTCGTGCGGGAGCATCGTCCGCCCGTGAAATGCGAGGAAGTCTTCGGCGGGAGCCCTTTCCCTACGGGGATCGCAAAGAATATTATTAATTCAAGCGGGTCATCCAGATCTTGCAAGTGCCGTCACTATTCTGGAGGAAGTCTCGTGCGGGAGCCCCGTCCGCGCGCGAAACTTGAGGAAGTCTCAGGCGGGAACCCCCCTCCTATGGGGCCCGCAGGTCACGTTATCAATCCGACCGAGTCATCCGGATCTTGTCACTATCGCTTTTTCGAGCCCCTGAGCGTTGAATTTGGAGGAAGTCTCGCGCGGGAGCCTCGCCCGCGCGTGAAATGTCAGGAGGTCTCAGGCGGGAGCCCCCTCCCTAGGGGGAGCGCAGATGGCGTCATCAATCCGATCTGGTCATCCGAATCCTGCGATAGTCATCGTCCCAGGCCCCTGAGCCTTGAATCTGGAGGAAGTCTCGCGCGGGAGCCTCGTCCGCGCGTGAAATGTAAGAAAATCTCGTGCCGGAGCCCCTTCCTTATTATGCCCGCAGATCACGTCATCAATCCGAGTGGGTCATCATAATCGCGTAACTGTCGTCACTTTCGGGCCCCAGAGCCTATCTGGAGGAAGTCTCGTGCGGAAGCTTCGTTTGCGAGTGAGTTGCAAGGAAGTCTCAGGCGGGAGCCCCTCCCGATGGGTCCCGTAGATCACGTCATTACTCCGAGCTGCTCCTCCGGATCCTGTAACTCTTGAGCGGGAGCCTCGTCCGTGAGTGAAATGTGATGAAGTCTCAGGCGGGAGACCCCTCCCTATGCGGCCCGCAGATCACGTCATCAATCCGAGCCGGCCATCTGAATCTTGTAACCGTCGTCGCGTCCGGGTCTGCGCCAGGGCGACAAGGAGAATGACGCAGAAGGACTATGGTGATGGTTATATCCAGGCTAGCCGAGAGTATTCTCGTGTGGGGTCCTACCGTCAGATGATTGTTGTAGAGGTGGACTTTTGGCAGGCTTCTTGGAGGCTTCTTGGGAGCCTCTTGGGGGCCTCTTACTGGTCTCATGGGGCTCCTTCGGTGTGTGTGTGAGTGTGTGTTTGCGTGCCTCTTGGGAGCCTGCTGGTGGTCTCGTCTGCGGGGCCATCTTGGGAAAAGGGGTCGACATGTCAGTTTGGGTTCCGTCCCTTCGGCCGTCATGGGGGACTGTTGGGCCGTCTTGGGCGCGTCAGAGGCGGCAAAAGGTAAGCATGGCAACATGATGCAGAACCTTCAGGCTTTCAGTATGTTTGTCCTCTCGAACCCTCCCCGAGGACCTTCACGACGGCCCAAGATGCGCTCAAGAGGTTTCCAGGAAGGATCGCGATACCATCTTAGAGCATGCTGGAAGGCTGGGGTTTAAACCGTGTTGCCGGGGCCTTTCTGGAAAAGCGCACGACAAGAGCGCCCGCTGGCGCTAAGAAGCGGTCAGAACCTCAGTGCATTGGGGGGCCGGGTCCCTTTCAAAGCATCCACATTCGTCAAAACAGAGACGTGGAAGGGACTTGAGGACACTGCACTCAGTGCCGGCAGCGCGGTGGCGGAACATTGTTCGTGCGTGCACGCATGTGTGTGTGTGAGAGAGAGTACGTTCTCGCGCGTGCGCATTGAGCCATGTGTATGTGCGTATGTGCGTATGTTGGTGCACTGGCGCACGAGTCATGCCTGCGTGCGCATTCTCATGCACAGTGTCAAGGCCTCACGAAGGCGCTCCGAGATGGGGAGCACCATGTTGTTCAGAGCGTGAATTACCTACCCCGCTTTCGCGTCCAGGCAAAACCAAGCCATACCACGCGCCTCCTGGTCACGCGGCCTGACCAGTACAGGCCGTAGTTTGGCATCGCTTGGTATCTCTTGGAAGCGAGGGTGGTCAAAAGCGAGGTAGGTTTGTTTGCCCCCTAGTTATGGTTTCCCATGCCGGTATGCAGCCATGTTGGACATGCCCGTGTGTCGGTCGGCCGTGCCCGCCGAGGTAAGCAGCCGCATCAACCGTATTCTTGCGATCGTGTCTACTCCCAGTGCAGCTAAGGCGGCTCTCACGTGCTCCTCTCGCCCGGTGCATCTTGTCTTGAGTGATCGCGTGGTTACATCACCTTCCTTTCCTCCTCCTCGTCCTCCTCCTTCTCCTCCTCCTCCTCCTCCTCGTCCTCCTCCTCCCCCTCCTCCTCCTCCTCCTCCTCCTCCTCCGCCTCCTCCTCATCATCCTTATCCTCCTCCTCCTCCTCCACCTTTGGGTGATGCAATGGCTGTCTAATTTAGGCTGGCAGTTAGTGATGGCAGTTGGAGGAGGCCGACTACAGCAATGAAGAGTACAGTGACCGGGTCGTCACTGTGACGACCATGAGATGACGGTGATGCTGTTACTGGGATGCATTTATGTTTTTGTTTTCTGACGCTTGCGGAGGTTGTTACAGATTGTGTGATGATGTCCTGTGTTTTGTATTTGAGCGTGTGGTTTTCGAAGGTAATCGGGCGTTCCGGGTGCATTTGAGATGTGAGGATGGAGGAGGAAGAGGAGGTGTAATCGAGGAGGAGATAATAGGGCCTAGGGCGGGAGTGCGAGGAAACAGCAGCACCAGTAGGGGAGAAAGGGGGGAGGGAGGATAGGAGTCGGGTGGGATTTGGAGTTGGGGGAGGTCAGGGAGGAGAATTGGGAGAAGCGGACGGGGAGGGAGGGTGGAGGGGCGCAGGAGGGATGAGGATGATGAGGGAGAGCGGATGGAGTGAGCAGGAAAGGGACATGGAAGGTGAGGGAAGGGGACATGGTCGGGAAGAGGGAGGAGCGGGAGCCGGAGCGGGGAGGGGAGGGGAGAGGTGGACAGGGGATGTTGCAGTGCATTGGAGGTTTGCGTAGTCAGACATCGTTTCTCACATTGTTGTGCCAGGCATTTGTTCTTGCCATCTCGGCGCCATGGGCGGTGGCGGGAGCTTCGGCCCACCGTACACCATGGCATTCTTGCACTCGCAGTGTTGGGATGGGAGGCATTCGTGATGGATGGTGTCCGGGTGTCCTGGAACCCTCCTAGATGCTCTCCAGGACTCCAGAACCCTTGCAACCTCCCAGAGATTGGCAAGATCATATCTCGGTCTCGGTCTCGGTATGTGTCTGTGGCGAGAGGAGGGGCCAAGCAAGAGCAATCAATGTTCATCGCAACAAAATCATCAATCCTAACATGTAGGCACATGCACAAGGCTGCAATCGTCCTCGTCGTCGTCTCTCCCCGCAGGCCAGAGGAAGGATATGTGACGCCAACACCAGCGGGGCCGCCTTCGCCGAGGAGCTCAACGATTCCCCGAGCTGGGGACTGGAGACGTCTCGATCGGGTCACCGAAAAGTATCGGAACCACACCGCCAGGGGGACCCTCTTGTTTCGTCTCCGTGGTGATGGTGATGTCGTCTACTCCAGGTTTCGTAATGAAAGGGAGGGGGTCACAACCCGCCCAGACGAGAAGTTTTAGACTCCCCCAGGTTATCCGTGAAAGGGCGGCCCTTTGCCCAGACGCCCCCGAACCCTCCAAGACAGCTCAAATCAGACCCCCCCCCAAACGTGACCCCCCCCCGCTTTATTATGGCATCCGGAGTATCCTTGGCCCTTTTTTGGGAGATGCCAGGCACCTGGATGCACAGGGTGTTGCCGGCCTGTGCCAGAGCCGGATGCACGCGTGGCTGCACACCGCTGCAGTGATCGGCCTTCGGCTCCTCGCGATGGTGGCGGCGATTAAAACAGGGCTAGGATCGGGATGAATCGCTCCAGAGCGTACCGGAGCGCTCTCAGAGCGTTCTGGAGCGCTCTGGAGCGGCCGCGGCGCCCAATACATGCTCCAAGCCCGCCGATTCTCAGAGATTTCGAGTTATCCCGATCCGATTTTGTCCCGATCTTCGCGTCGTTTTCGTGGTGCCGATTCTCCCTCGCCCTCCGCCCCATGGCTCGAATGACGACGGCTTAAAGGCGCGGGGCGAGACCCTCCAGAAGTCTCCGAGCACGTCCGCAAACTTCCCCTCATCTCGTCGTCGTCGAGCTCCCCGTCGTGGTCGTCGTCGTCGTTGTCGTCGTCGTCGTCGTCGTCGACCTTGCCGTCCCAGGGCAGCGCCAGCTTCCAGGAAGCCGCCGCACCCGCCATCCGTCACAGCAGGTGCGGTCGGCGCAGAGGGAGACGAGGAGACGCAGCTCTGACGGGTGGTTGCCAGGGAGAGTCTCTCGTCGTCGTCGTCGTCGTCGTCGTCGTCGTCGCAGCCGCCCCCCACGCTAGGTCCGAGACGGCAAGAGGCGCGAAGCGAGACTCTCAAGAAGCCTCCGAGCGCCTCCGCAAACACTCCCCTCGTCTCTCGTCGTCCTCCTCGTCGACGCCGTCGTCGCAGCTACCCCCTGCAGGGCTCGTCGACGTCCTCGTCGTCGTCGTCCTGCCTGTTGACGCCGCCGCCCCTCGCCGTCCTCCCCGCCGTGATCGATCGTCCTCGTCCTCGTCGTCCTCGTCCTCGTCGTCCTCCTCCTCCTCCCTCCTCCTCCTCCTCCTCCTCCCCCTCCTCCTCCTCCTCCTCCTCCTCCTCCTCCGTAGCCATTTTGGCTCATGCCTGTCCCCCGCTTTCCGCAGCCCTTTCGCCGATGTTCCGTGCCTCGGCGGCGGCGGCTCCGGAAGCTGGCACGACATGAGGATGGCTACGGGAGAGGCGGTCCTGCGCGGCGCGGCGGGCGCCCGTGTGGCGGCAGACCGCCTCGTGTCTCGGCTCAGCCGCGAGCTGGCCGAGGCAAAGCAGCGGTGCGCGGCCCTGGAAGCGGAGCTGGCGGCGCGTGCGGGCTCCGGATCCACGGTGGCCGCCGAGGTGGAGCGCCGTGAGGCGATTGCTCGACCGGCGTTGGTCGCACGACTTCAGGGCTGCAGCGTACCCCATGGAGCTCGCCTACGCAGGAACGTGGCGCTACATTCGCTGGAGTGCCCGCCCGCCTCGGCGCCGCTGGCGAGCTGGCGGCGGGCGCAGCGCGGGCAGCGGCTCGGCTCGACGGACGTCGTCACTCAGCCGTCCCTTCGAGCTGACGCCCCGCCTTTCTGCCCTGGTTTGGGCCGCTGGGAGGTCCTCCCCCCGCCGACGGCGCTGGGCTGGCTCTGCACATGCGGCGCGACCCTCTTCGGCGACTCCGCCGCGGGCTCCCCTTCTTACCACGAAGACGGTCAAGATGATGGTTTCGCCGAGCTTGCTGAGCGCGGTGACGTGCATCTTCACCGTCGTCTGGTTGATATTCCCCTCGACGTTCGTGCATCCTGCGTCCCTGATCTTGGTGTACGCCCTGGTCTTGTACGTGGTGCTGAGTGGTGGCAGGCCCGTCAAGCCATTGCCAACACATGGCTTGTCCAAGATGCAGGCGATGATCGAGGAGCAGCTGCGCCTCGTCGTGATTCCGAGCCCGCCGTGGAGATCGTCGGCGAGCTGAGGGGTGATCAGGCTGCAGCTGTTGCAGGATGGGAGTTCAGCACTGCAAGGGCGCGGCTCCTCCGCGACGCCGACGCCCTGAGATGTCCCACACCACGTTCTGCAGTCGCCACGGGGCCGCCCATCGACTGGAGCGCCATCGCGGCCCCCTCCGAGGCGGCCGTGGCCGCGCAGACAGCACCAGCGGAGGCGTCGGCCGATTGCAACCAGAGTTGAATAGTGATCTGCGCTACGTGAGTGCGTCAGACGCCGCGGTGTGCTGGGAGATTTTTCGCCTTCGTCGAGGCGTCCTCGTTGGCCTTCGCGGAGGCGGTCCTCTTCGAGCGCAGCGCGGTCGGGGGGTCCTGGGGTCCTCAGGTGGACTCCAGGCCCCCCGCGGTCCCAAAAATCGACTACGTCGAATCGCTCGCAGCTCGCAGCTCCTCCTCCTCCTCCTCCTCCTCCTCCTCCTCCTCCTCCTCCTCCTCCTCCTAGCCGTTCTGGCCCAGGTGTTTGGGCTTGCTGCAGCTGTCTTCAGAACGGCGCCGCTGCAGCGAGCCAACTTGGCTTACCGTGAGTCGCTCCAAGGGAGCGCAGAGTTTCACAACGAGGAAGGTGCAGCGATGGCGCCCGAGCCGCCGCCCTCACCCACGGTGCTCCGTGGGCCGCGGCGGCCCTTTTGGGTGTGCGGGAGGTGCTCAACTGCGGCGAACTGGGCATCTCGCATTCGTTGTCAGTGTGGGAATGAGGCGCCGTTTCGGATCAGGAACGAGGCCTGGAAGGCCCACAAGGCGGCGACCGCTGCCTTGCCTGCTGGTCAGTCGGGGGCGCCTCCTACGAAGAGCAAAGACAAGGATGACACCAGCAAGAGGCTCGCGGAGATGGAGAAGCTCATCAGGTCGTTCTGCAGCAAGGGGGAGCCGCCGCCTGCTGCCAGCCCGACAGTTGCTCCGTGGGCCCAGGGTTCCAAGCCGTCGTCGGACATGGGCCCGCTGCTCGAGTCTGATGATGAGAAGGTCAAGCGCGATAAGCTCACTGCGCTGCTGGGGCAGTACGAGACGGTGCTCAAGAGTCTTCCTGGGCCCGACGAAAACCCCATCCGTGCTGCGACGATCGAGAAGATCAAGAGCATCAGGGAGCAGCAGAAGGCGCTGCGCACGCCTGCGATTGCGCATCGCAGGACGGCCCAGGACTTGCACAAGGCCCGCTTGGCCCGTGCAAAGATGGAGGCCGAGATCGCGGAGAAGACCTCGCAGATGCAGAAGCTGCAAGAGTCGATTGACGAGCGCAGGCTGCAGTTGGAGGCGAAGAAGCTCGAGATCGACAAGCTCGACGAGGAGTACAAGCGGACGGCTGCTCTCATTGCGCAGTCGGACGGGGAGCCGAAGCCGTCGGTCACGTTCAAGCTGGAGATCAAGCCGGAGGAGACACAGGATCCTGATGTTCAGGCATTCCTCGGGTCGGATAAGTGGGAGATACTCAAGCCGATCATCCTCGCGAAGATCGGGCGGCCCTCGCAAGGGGGGCCCGACCATCCTCCTGCTGCTGCTGAGCCTCCTGGGGGCGATGTGGCCGCGGGGGATGACGACATCGACATGGGGCAGCTCAACGGGGGCGACTTCGAAGCTCGAGCGGAGGCGTTCCGAGCCGCGGCGGAGGCCCTGCGAGCTGCTGAAGGTGCTGAAGCCCAGGCTGACGCCAAGCGGCAGCTACTGCAAGCCCAGGAGGCCCTCGGGGTCAAGCGCCGCAGGCAGGGGCTTTAGCAAGGCGGCAAGGCCACAGCGTGAGCAGCAGCTGTGGAGGCTGTGGACTGTCAACTCGAGCGCCTGGAGCTCTTTCCAGGGCTGCTTGGACTGGCAGAGGAGTTGGGGGGACAGCGCTCGGCCCCATGTGTGTTTTGGACAGGAACATCGGTTGAAAGATCTCACCAAAGTTCATAGTGCGGCAGGCTGGCTCCGTGTTCGCGGCTATCACGGGGCTTTCGGCAGGGCGAAGTCCACGGGACAGCTTGCCACGGAGTCGCCAGGGGGAGTTCTGACGGCAGTCGCGTCCCACATTGCTTTCGCAGGATTGAGCCTCAAGCATCTCGGCGTGCAGTCTGGCTATTTCTCGAGGCTGAAGCTGATTCGGGCCAACATGGCCTTCCCCCATGGCCTGCTGCTGGGCTCGGTCTACGGTTTCGTGGACGCATCCGACAAGGTGTTCACGTGGGATATGCTGGAGGATTTTGGAGTGTTCCTGCGTCGGTCCAGGTCACCGTGGATTCTCGCAGGGGGCTTCAACTTGCCGCCAGAGGATATCAAGCTGTGCAAGTGGGTAGAGCTCCTCAAAGGCACGATCGTGGCCCCAAGTGGTCCGACTTGCTTTGCGTCCAAGTCAGGGTCCACGATCGACTACTTCATCGTAAGTCAGGGGCTGGTCAACTTTGTCAGCGATGTTCGCACGGTATACGGTACCCCTTCGTCGCCTCACGTCGCTGTTGCCATGCAGCTCAAGGGCCCAACTCTGAACATACCGCTGCATGTTCGCAGGACATGGAAGCCCTTCCCCACTTCCCAGCGGACGGGGCCTGTGCGGAAGCCTGCCGAGCACTGCTGGTCCTGGCCCGCAGGGGTGCTCGCAGGTGTTCGGCTGGAAGATGCGTGGTGCCAGTGGCTGAGCAACATGGAGCTGGAGCTGCGCAACCAGTTCGACATCGTCGGTGCTGGGCAGAGAGGCTTCGTCGGCCGAGCCGACGGGTTCGAGCGGCGGCAGGTGCCTCTCGCCGTGTCGATGGAAAAGGCGGCGCTGTCTGGCAGTGGGGCCCAGATGCGAGCCTGGAGGTCGCTGGATGCTATTCTATCCAGGTTCCAGGCGCTCCAGGACGACACCGTTGGTGCCAGCGATGAAGCAGCTGTTCAGCCGTCCTCCACGTGCTCAGGTGGGGCCTGCGATCGGCGTGAGGAGCGCGCGGGGGAGTGGCCAGCGGCGCCCAGCGTTTCTGGGCTCAGCACCGAGGGTCCGTCGCTTTCCCTGGGTTCCATGGGCTTTGTCCTGCCTGACTACACGTCGCCGTACTCGGGGCCGACGCCGCTGGCTGGTGCTGAGGTCCAATCGTCGACAGACCTGGCCCCTGCAGACCCCCTGGGCCGTGAAGGTGGCCAAGGCATTAAACCAGGGGAGCGTCTCAGGGGCCAGGTCGGATGGCAGCATGGTCGCAAGGGACGTGCCCGAGGCGATACCCGTCTTCGCCTGCTGGAGGAGCTGGACCACCTCGACTTGTCGACGCTGACGGGGGCCAAGATCGTGGAGTTCGACCTGCACTCGCTGCGCAGCGTTGCGGAAGCGGGCGGGGAGGACCTGGCCACCCTAGCGACCAACGTCCACCAAGCGGCGCTGGAGGCGTCCCAGGCGGCGGCAAAGGTGCAGCTGCAGGAGTGGAGAGAGTGGGCCCAGTCCGCGGTGAAAGCTGGTGGCCGTCGTGCTCACAGGTACCTGAAGGACTTGCCGCAGGTGAAAGGGCCAGTGGCTCCTGAGGGCTGGGCGCTGCAAGGGGATGCGGCTGTGCAGGCAATGCACATGGATTGGTTGCAGTACTGGGGAGACGCCAAGGAGAGCATCTCACAGATCCAGGCAGCAGTCGCGCAGAAAGATGAGCTGCCCAGGCCGTCAGCTGAGCGAGTTCGCGCGGTGTGCCGCTCCTTCCCCCACCAGGTGGGCTGCGGGGTGGACTGCGTGAACCCGCGCTCCTTCGACCTGCTCGACGACGACTTCATGGAGAGGCTAGTGGACCTCATGGAGCTGCGGGAGGCCGACCCGCAGCTCTCGGGCAGACGGCCGGCTCTGATGGTCTTCCTGGGCAAACCTGACGGCTCGGGTGCAAGGCCGATCGCCCTCATCTGCTCCATCCTGAGGGTCTGGGGCAAGGTGCGGCGAGAGGAGGCCAAGCTCTGGGAGGACCAACACGCTGCTGGTGTCTTCTGGGGAGTGCGAGATCGAGAATGCGATAGAGCTGGCTGGGTGCACCAGACAATGGCGCACTTTGCGCGCAGCAGGGGCATGCAGTCAGCCACCTTGGCCACGGACTTAGATAAGTTTTGCGAGCGTATATGTCACGCAGTTTTGTTCGCAGAGGCGGAGGCGGTGAAGTTCTCGACCAGGCTCTGTAGAGCGGCATGCTCGCTTTACTCGGGGCCGCGTGCGGTGTCCTTCAGCGGCTGCGTCTCCGAGGTCTTCCACGCCTCAGGCACGGTGCTAGCGGGCTGCTCGCTCGCGACGTGCCTGGCGAGAGTCCTGCTGTTTCGCCTGCTCACCACGGTCGAGAGCGAGCACCCGACGTCGATGGTGAGGAATGTGATAGACGACATCAGCGCGCAGTCCGTCGGCACGAGCCTCCACGTCGTCAGGGAGCTGGGCGGCGTCGGGAGCAAGCTGATCGATGGCTTGCGCAGGCTGCGTCTTGTGCTGTCGGAGAAAAAATCACAGGTTCTTGCTTCATCGAAAGGGGTTGCTGAGGGACTGGCCAGTGCGTGGAAGGCGTCTTTCAAGAAGAAGGCTGTGATTAGGAGTCTGGGGGCCGATTGGCAAGTGAGCTCTTCTAGGTTGGCCCCCATAGCCTCCAACAGGGTCAAGACTTGCATGCGTAGGTCGTCGCGCCTCCGCTCTCTGAGGCGCGCTGGGGCCTATGTGGGGCACATCCAGAGAGCGGGCCCTCAGGCCTCGGCTTTGTGGGGGGCCTCGGTGAGAGGGCTTCCTTGGTCTCAGTTAAAAAGGATCCGCACGCAGGCCCTCTTGTCTCTGGCTCCTGCGAAGCAGGGGGCGTCTGTGGGTTTAAAACTCCGCACGTTTAAGCAGGGTAGGACCATGGATCCCGTTCCGTTGTATTTCAAGCAGGTTGTGTTCGAGTGGGCTCGGGCTGTCTGGGGCGGACTCCCCAGCATAACGATCCTACAGGCGGTTTTTGAGGATGCCGTTCGATCGCTTGCCACCACCAGTCGCCCGTGGTCGAGGGCGACGTCCCCTGCTCACGTGTTTGTGATTGCTTGCGGGGACCTGGGGTGGGAAGCGAGATCGGCGCGCCTCATAGTTCTTTCGACGGGCGAGCAGATAGACCTGCTCAGGCTCTCGCCGTCGATTGTTGCCACTCTTGCCCAGCAGGCTGCCAGAGAGATGTCGGATTTTCGTGCCCTGGAGGCTCGTGAGGGTTCGTCGTCGTGGTGTCGGCCGGTGTTTTGGCAGCCTCTGGAATTTTTATTCGCCAGGAGAAACGATGACTGGGACAGGACCCATAAGAATTCTCTCAGGGCGGCGGTCTCGGGGACCCACTGGACCCAGGACCGCCTGCAGCGACACGGCTTGGCGTCGTGCAACCTTTGCAGGCTGTGCATGGGTGCCCCAGGGACCACGTTCCACCGTAGGTTTGTATGCGAGGCATGGGCTGCTGATCGCTCCCTCTTCTTGTCGGATGAAGCGTTAGCTGCAGCCAAGCTAATTCGGCAGCGGGGCGACACTGGGGAGTTTTTTGCTTCGGGCATTTTCCCGTCTCCCAGGGAGCTGGCCCCCCCGCCGCTTGGGTCCGAAAGGTGCCAGGTCTTCTGGATTCGAAGGCCCGAGGATGGCCTGTTGTCTGGCAAACTTTTTACCGACGGCTCGGCCATTTTCCCCTCGGGCCCGCTCCTGAGAAGAGCAGGGTGGGCGGTGATCTCGGTCGATGACACTGGTGCCATGATCTCTGGAGCTTTCGGCCCCGTCCCGTGGGATGTCGCGCCCCTCCAGCTCGCCAAGGATGGCGAGGATTATGCGTATCAGATGCTCGGCCAGGTCGCTTTGGACCCCGAGGGTGTTTGGACTGATTGTGCTGCCGCGATTTCCTGTGCTCGGTCGAGAGTTCGCTCCACGAGTGCCCGTTGTGGCCAGGCTCACATGTGGACCTCTGTGCATGCGGCCTTCGAGGGTGGGCTGGTTGTCCATGAGACGAAGGCCCATTGCACGGAGGGCGATGTGGAGCGAGGTGTCACCACTCACTGGGAGCGTAAGGCTAACGCCATAGCCGACGCCCTCGCGAAGCGAGGGGCAGGTCAGCATCCATCGGTCGAGCAGGCCGCCCGTGAAATCGCTGGTTTAAGACTCTTGGGGCGTGAGTTGGGCCAGTGGGTTGGGCGGCAGGGGCTTCTGATGCGAGAGAGGGGATGGGTGGACTCGGAGGGCCTGCCTGATAAGCGCCTGGTGCCTGGTTCGGGCCCTCGCCAGGGCCGCCCCCCTGAGCGCCCCATCCCCCCCGTGTCTGTGCGGTTCAGGGCCGTGCTTTCCGCCGCTGCCCAGGCGGGGCCGTGTGACCCTGAGCTCACTATTTTGATGAGGCTGTCTCAGCACAACCTGCGTGTCTGTCATGTTTTTGATCAGACGGGAGCCTCCGTTGTCTCCGCCCCACGCATCGTGTGCTGTATTTCGTGTGGGGCTTATGCGTGGGGCGGGGTCAGGGAGCTCGCTGTCCGCGAATGTCACGGTCACAATGCGGGAAAGGGGCTCAAGCAGCAGCGATCGAGGTTGCTCGCGGGTCTCTGCCCCAGGTGGCTTAGCAAGTACAAAGGCTGGAGGGTGAGCTGTCTCGAGAGGCCCGTCCCTGGAGATCTCCTGGACTTGGCGAGGGCCATTCTCGACCGTCCCCAGGCGCGGGTGTCGGCGCCAGCCTCCAGTGCCGTTTTCCCCAGGGGACCGCCGTGGCAGGTTCCCATGGGGCGAGGGCCCCTCCTCGCCCGCTTCGGCCTCACGGTGGACTCGCTCCCGTTCTGGGAGCTGGAGGCCGCCCGTCGGGGTGCGGGGGAGGATGAGGAGTCGGTTTAATTTGTTTCCGTTTTATCCTCGCGGTCGGTGTCTTGGACGCCGTCCGCCTTCGTCTTATCTTATCTTACCTCCTCCTCCTCCTCCTCCTCCTCCTCCTCCTCCTCCCCTCCCCTCCTCCTCCTCCTCCTCCTCCTCCTCCTCCTCCTCCTCTCCTCCTCCTCCTCCTCCTCCTCCCTCCTCCTCCTCCTCCTCCTCCTCCTCCTCCTCCTCCCCCCCCCCACCGCACCGCCCCCCCCATGCAGGGCCCGAAGGACGACGGCAAGCGGCGCGAGGCGGCGAGGGCCTCGCGCCGCGGCGGCGGCGGCCAGGCCCCGCGCGCCGCCGCCAGGGGCGCCGGCCCAGGCGCGCACGCCTGCTGCCGCGCGCGCGGCGCCTCCTCGTCGTCCTCCTCGTCGTCCTCGTCGTCGTCGTCCTCCTCCTCCTCCTCCTCCTCTTCCTCCTTGTCCTCCTCCTCCTCCAACTCCTCCTCCTCCTCCTCCTCCTCCTCTTGCCCTCCTCCTCCTCCTCCTCCTTCGCCCGCGCCCTGCCTGAGATCCGAGGGGTCAAATGTTTTACACATTTGCCCAGGTGTGTGTGTGTGGAGCTGCGTGTGGATGTATGGATGTGTATATATACATGTGTACACAGATATATGATGTATATGGGTGTGTATATATATATGCACAAATACAGGTCATAACGTTCATATACATGGATGTATATATATATATGTATATCATATACGACCACCCTTCGGGTGATAAGGAGGTTCGGGGGGGAGGAACCAACGTCTCACTCGATCGGTCTCACTATCGGTCTCGCTATCGATGTCACTATCGATATCACTATCGGTCTCGTTCGATCGATCTCACTCGATCGATCTCACAATCGATCTCACTCGATCTATCTCATTCGATCGATCTCACACTTGATCTGACTATCGGTATCACAATCGATCTCACAATCTGACAATCGATCTCACATTCGGTTTCACTATCGATATCACATTCGATATCACCATCAACGTCATTATCATCATCACCACCAAAACCATCAACATCACCATCATCATCATCAGCATCATCATCATCATCATCATCGGGACACCATCATCACCATCATCATCATCATCATCACAATTAGCATCATCATCATCATCATCATCATCATCATCATCATCATCATCATCATCGGGACACCGACGGGGCACCGACGGGACACCGACGGGACACCGGCGGGACACCGCGGGGCCCCGGCCGCCCAGAAGGGAGACATTTGGTCCGGCCGCGCCTCAGCCACACGGGACACCAGCGGGACACCGGCGGGACACCGCGGGCCCCCAGCCGCCCGGAAGGGAGACATTTGGTCCGGCCGCGCCTCAGCCACAGGAGACTTTCTCTCGCCCGCCCACGCAGCTTCGCCTCGCCCGCACGGCACGCACGAACACGAAACCGAAATCGATTTCCCGGTAGGGGGGCTCTCCGTTCCACTTCGATCTCACCTCCTCACCTCCGATATATATATATACAATACATAATATATATAAAATATATAATATATATTATATATATATATAATATTGTATAAATATATATATGCATGCATGCACACACATGTGCAGATGTATGTACATGTGTGTAATGTGTAAGCATCTTACATACTCGGCGTTTTAGACAGATTTCGATTTCGAGCCCGAGAAACCATCACAGATCGAGCCCGCTCGAAATCAGCCGAGGAAAGATGGGGTCCAGTCGCGAGTTTCTGCGATGCTTTTCATGATTTTCGCAGCGTCGGATCTCAGGGTAGTCGTGCCGTTCCCCCGTGTTCGCACGTGCTCGCGCGC